TGCATAACTTTTATATATATATGAATTTAAATTCGAGCAATTTGAAAATTTCGCTAAATATTTTTACTTTCTTGCTTATCCTCTTCGTGTCAAACTGGCCCATAAGGCCCCTAGTTTTTTCCCCCATCCAGTTAATCCTTCTCTATTCAGATCTTCGTTAATGCATCGTTGCCATATGAGTCTTGATCTCCCTCTTTTTCTCTTTCCACCAGGTGCCCTTGAGCTTTTTAAGGATTTTTTCTATATGTTCTTAGAATATTACCGAACCCTTTCCATCTTCGTTTTAAAATTTCTTTATTGACAGATGGGATATTAGCTTTTGTTAAAAGATCTTTATTTGTTAAACTATAGGTTGCAACTATAGGTTCTAACTATATATTAAATTACATTATATAAACTGAAACTATCACCAAGTATTTTTTTTAGCATATATTTTGAAAAGTTTCAAATTTTTCTTTTTTCGATTTCCGGGGACTCCAGCATTCGGCCCGATACAGAAGAACATACAGTAGCCTTATAGACATTTATTTTTGCTTTTAATTTCATATTTGAGGCTCTTAAAAATATCAAACTGTTAAACTAAAAATAAAACTGTTTAAATTAACGCAAGTCAGTTCTCTCCTGAAAATCCTACAGAATAATATTTACACATTCGAAAAATATGTATTTAATTAACAAACTGACATATTTTTGAAGGCCTGCTAATAAATATTTTTATTTGTAGAGTATGTAATTTTTACATATAATTTTAAAATATTTAATTTATATTAAAAAATGCAAAATATTACTATAATAGATAAAACAATGCTTGAGGCTTTTGGGATCAGTTACGAATTAGAATAAGTTAGGAATTATTCTTCTTTGAAATTTCATAAATCAGGAACTTTTGCCGATAACGTTATAGTTAGAATCAACTGCACTATTAATCTAATAAAGCATAATTAAAAGCACCTTGGCAATTTAGGTCAACTTTTTGAGCAAATATCATCGACTCTTAATTTATGAAGTCTATAGAACAAAAGTTATTATGTGAGATTAATAATTTTTTGATTCAGTGCACTTGAAACAAGAAAAGCTTTCAAAAATTTTTCCTTAAAATCCTTCTGCCATCTTTGATGATGACTGATATACCTAGAAAATAAGATGACAAACTGTTGAAAATGTGTTGTTATCACCAATTTTTCAGCTTTTAGAAAAATGTCAGAAAAAAAAGGATTTGAATATTTGTTTGTGAAAAGTAGTAAATCAAAAATAATCCTATCAAAGCATTATTTTCAGTAAGAATAAATGAAGATTTATGCTTCAGTCTGTT